CCCAATTTTCCCCCCAAAATTCCCAATTTTCCCCCCAGAATTCCCAAATTTCCCCCAAAATTCCCAATTTTACCCTAAATTTCCCATTTTTCCCCCCAAAATTCCCAATTTTTACCCCAAAATTCCCATTTTTCCCCCCAGAATTCCCGAATTTCCCCAAATTCCCGGGAAGAATTCACCTTCCATCTGCGTCACGGTCTCGTAGCTCAGCACGGCGTCCTCGCGGCCTGGCCGGGAAATTCGGGAATTTGGGGAGGGAAATCACGGAAAAATTGGGAATTCTGGGGGAAATTGGGGAATTCTGGGAATTTGGGGGAGAAAATTGGGAATTTTGGGGGGAAAAAATGGGAATTTTGGGGGGAAATTGGGAATTTTGGGGGGAATTTTGGGAATTTTTGGGGAATTTGGGAATTTGGGGTGGGAAATCATGGAAAAATTGGGAATTTTGGGGGGAAAGGTGGGGATTTTGGGGGGAAAATCGGGAATTTTGGGGTAAAATTGGGAATTTTGGGGTAAAATTGGGAATTTTGGGGAGAAAATTGGGAATTTTGGGGGAAAAATTGGGTATTTTGGGTGGAAAAATGGGAATTTTGGGGAGAAAATTGGGAATTTTGGGGGTAAAATTGGGAATTTTGTGTGGAAAAATGGGAATTTTGGGGAGAAAATCGGGAATTTTGGGGTAAAATTGGGAATTTTTGGGGATTTTTGGGAATTCTGGGGAAAATTTGGGAATTTGGGGAGGGAAATCATGGAAAAATTGGGAATTTTAGGAGGAAATTTGGGAATTTTGGGGGGAAAATTGGGAATTTTTGGGGGAAATTTGGGAATTTTGGGGGGAATTTTGGGATTTTGGGGGAAATTCGGGAATTTCGGGGGAAATTTGGGAATTTCGGGATCCCACCTTGACCTCCCGGCCCCCGATCCTTGGCCTTGAGCCGCGTCCACTCCCGGCGCTCCACCCTGGAACCAGTTTGGACCAGTTTGGACCAGTTTGGACCAGTCCAGACCAGTTTGGACCAGCCCAGTTGCCACCAGTCCCCTCCCAGTAGCCACTGGGATGGGTCCAGTTCCTTCCCAGTGGCTCCCAGTTAATCCCAGTAAGGCCCCAGTGGCCTCCCAGTTCCATTAAACCCCATTATAACGGCTCCAAACTCGCTCCCAGTATAAACCAGTACAAACCAGTATAAACCAGTGATTCCCAGTGACTCCTGGTCTATTCCAGTGAGTCTCAGACACCTCCCAGTGATCCTAAAGTTCCTCCCAGTGGCTCCCAGTTAATCCCAGTTAATCCCAGTTCCATTAAACCCCATTATAACCCCCTAAAAGCGGCTCTGGCTGCCCCCAGACTCGCTCCCAGTATAAACCAGTACAAACCAGTATAAACCAGTGATTCCCAGTGACTCCTGGTCTATTCCAGTGACTCCCAGACACCTCCCAGTGATCCTAAAGTTCCTCCCAGTGGCTCCCAGTTAATCCCAGT